TATGCGGAGGCTGCTTTCTGAGGATGCATTTCAAGGCTGAAGTGAGTGTAATGGAATCATTTATAGTAATTGTTCTGCCAATTAGAATATTTATAAATATCTGAGGGGAGAATGAAAAGATGATGGGGGAGGGTCCAAACTCTTCTGGCCAGCGACAGAACGAAGGGTATAAATTAAAATTAAAACACAGGAAGGTATAAATTAAAACACAGGAAGTTCCATCTCGAGATGAGGAAGAACTTTTCTGTGAGGATGACAGAGCCCTAGAAGAAGCTGCTCAGAGGGGCTATGGAGTCTACTCTAGAGATCTTCCAAACCCTCCTCGACGCTACCCTGTGTCCCGTGCTCTAGGTGTCCCTGCTGGAGCAGGACGTTGAACTAGATGGTCTCCAGAACTCCCTTCCAACCACAGCCCTTCTGTGAGTCTAATCATAATTCAAACAGTGTAATGCGGATAGGGCAAGTGTAGCATATAGCACGTGTGTCCCCAGCCAGCAAGTTCATTTACCACCTTTGAAATGTGATCAACTCTGTGGTGGGTTTTTTGTTTTGTTTTGTTTTGTTTTTGTTTTTGTTTTTTTTTAATGCTGAATTCTCCTTCTGAGGAAAGCAGACAAGATAGGACCATTTTTCACTCATGTTTTTAAATAAGTGAAACCTGAAGAAGCTTTTATAATGAATATTAATGGCACACAAATGTAGATAATGTGTCAGATATAAGGTTTCCTTACATCCATCCAGGTGCTGTATGTTTTCAGGCTTTATCCTGATTTCTTATGAGGAGCTCAGATGAAAGCACTCTTGGTACAATTATCTAGTTTTTGGATTTTGGTCTTATTACTCCATCAAGAATACTATGGTTTTATTTACATGTTTTTCATCGTAGAAGCAAGTGGGAGAGGACGGATGCATAGTAAGCCCAGTTCAGGACTTTTGGTCTTCTTTCAGCTCTGTCAACCACACAATCACTGTGTTTTGTAACTGTGTCACTTCTGAGACACACATACACACACACACACACACACACACACACACACACACACACACACACGTCTGTATCTGTTGAAAACTCTGTTGTGCCAGTGAACAAAAGCCAATGGTTGCCTGAGAGAGAAGGAAGAAAGAAGACATAACAAAGGARAGGAAGAAAGGAAAGAAGAAAGGAAAAGAAGGAGGGAGAGAGAGAGAAGGGATGCACAGCACAAGCTTGTTAAACAGAGGCATTGTACGATGTGTTGTTAGGCCATGCTGTGTCTTGTCTGCAAGCAGCTGTATGCACAGAGACTGTCATAGAGTGTTCTGGAGGTGCTGCATTATTAGTGTCTTTTTCCYGCTGTTTTGTGCAGCTCTTCAGTCTTTTGAGTTTATCTTTCATCTGATAACACTTTTATGTACATATCTAGACATTTTTTTCATAATATTTCCCCTGGATTGACCAGTGACAGTGGCTGATCATTATTGTTGCTTGCTGCTACATGATAAACAAGAAAATAAACTCTGTGTATCAGATTGTCAGAAAAGTAAAAATTGCGAGAAAAGGACCCATATCACTACCTGCACTTAAGCAGCATAAACAGTACAGATCAGAGGTTCACTTGTGTTTGAAGAAAAGGAAGAATAGAGAGAGATGTTTTCCAGAAGGACTGTGCATTCTCCATTCTTGCAGGTAATCCAGACCTGCTTGGATGTAGCTCTGAGCCAGTCTGGGTTGTGCTCTGAGCTGACTTGGCTTTGAGTGGGGACCAGAGCTTCCCTGAGCTTCCTTCTAGTCTAATTTATTCTGTGAGTCTATATTCAGGATTACAGGCTCTAYTCATCAACGAGAAGACGGAGGTGGAAGGAGGCGAGGAGGAGCACTGGCTTGGGAAGCCTGTCCCACGAACTAAAGGTTCCCTCCAACAGGAGGTTTGGTGGAGCACCCCTTACARTCTGCACCAGATCTTTTCTCCAGCCTTACTCCTCCTCTGCACTACGGCCTTCTCGAGGCCGGTTCTTGCAGCACCCACAGCTGCAGCCCAGCTGGCYCCTTGGGCTGTATGGGCTGGGTTCCGTTCCCTCAAGGAAGCCCTGACTCAAGCCTTAGCCTCTGTGGGTCCTTCTCCTCCTCCCCCTGGAACTTGGGACCCTGCTGCTAAGCTAGGCCTGTGAGAGCCTGTGGCTGAAGGCTGAGGCCCAAAGGCACGTGCTCCCTCAGCCTTGGCCCTGCCTCCTGCCAAGGGACACCTGCCCAGTTCAGTCAGGGGACACATCTTGCTGCTCTGCTCTTGCACTGAGACCGTACTGACATGCGGTGGGGCCTTGTTGCCCTTGAAGGYCTCTTGCAAGTTGCCATCTGGAGGTGACCTAACACCAGCCCCACACACATGGGCAATGCCACCAACAATGCCACCTTGCACCTATCTCTGCTTCTGCCTCCTTCTTATTGCTGGCTTTGCTGCACAGGAGGCCTGTCGCAACTTCCCAGGTCTTGCTGTTCTTCACATACTGCTGCCCTAAGCTTCATGGTGGGATGTTCTTGTGCCTGGAAGGAGCTGTCTTCAATGGCCTGCCAGCTCTGCTGCGCTTCTTTGACCTACTGAGCTGCCTCCCAKGSGATCTCACCTACTCAATTCCTTAGTAAGCCCAAAGATGCCCTCCCACAGGCCAGGCTCCCTACTTCGCAACTTGCCTTCCTCACTTGCCTTCCTCAGGCCTCAAGTTCCTCTACGTCATGGTCTCTACAGCCAAGGCTGACACTCATCTCCATATCTACAACCTCCTCTTTGTGAACTGTAGGGGCAGCTGTGTTTTACTGCAGGTTGGCCCAGACAGAAGCTGGATCATGGACCAGGTTCTGTCCTGGTCCCTCCCCTAWCTCTCAYCTCTCTCTGCCTTCCCGAAATCCAGTCACTTGSYSRTCYGTATCTTGYCCTGCCACCGTTCACTTCTCACCCTCATTAGGTGGCTGGGCACTCACCTCGGTCGCGGCACAAGGGTTTTTCCAGGGAGCTGCAAGGAGAAGCAGYTCAGAACAGACAAGGCCAAACACACGCACCTTGCTRATGAGGCAATTGTCTGTAGCCTTTAATTYCTGTCTCCACAGGCCACCAAAGAGAGCTGAATTCAGGACATAACAGGTCAACAAAGTGACAATTTAAGCAATATGGAATGGTTATAAAGAAAGGGGAAAGGCAATCATATACCAGGAATGCTGATGCAGAGCATTGCCTACGCTCATCGCAACGCACAGCAAAACAGAATCTCYCGTATAACATTAAAGCCTAATAACTGGGTTGGTGGAGGCATTTGTCCCTTCTGAAGCCAGGTTTCTTCATGTCACTTTGATTTATCCAATAAAATCTGTGGAGTGAAGAGAAAGAAGGGGAGAATCAATGAATACCAAGCCAGGCACAGGGCAGTGCTTCCTCACAGCARTCTGGAGAGGMTTTCAGCTGAGGCGCCAGCTATCATGYTGGGTGAGTCCAGCGGGCTTGGAAAGGAAAAGCCCACTTCCCAGGGCCCTCCCCATGGCAGAAGCTCAGCGAGGGACACAGACCAGTTCTTCTGCCTGAAAGGAACAAATCCTGTTCCCTTGTGGATTCCTTGYTGCTGCCACTCACAGGAGTCCTGTGACRTYTCCACAAYRCTGMAGTCCTCMCACTGCCCRTTCCTCACACAAATCCAGACACATCCCCATTCCTCATAATATTCCAACAAAAATCCCCATTCCTCAAAGGCCTGGAGAAGTCAACACAAGAGGCCGGAGTGGCCACTGAGGGGCCTGAGAGCTCCTCATTCACAGCGTGGAGAAGGTCAGTGACAAGAGCCCTTCCTCCATGGAGACACGAGCCCCAGCAGCAAGGAACCCAAGCTATCCGTCTGCCAAARGAGTGGTTGGTGCACACCACAGGGGCAGCTGTGCTGAGACCACAKGCAGTGAGTGCGGCCCTGCAGAAGCAGGGAGAGTGGGATGGAGGGAGAAAGGGAGAAGCCTCTCCACGACCTAGTGCCACCCGAGGGAGCAACCAGATGCTCCAGAACCATGCGAGTGTCAAGCAAGGAGATAATAACGGGAGCCCAACTTCTCTCTCTCTGGAAGCACTGCAGCAGATCTGGCCGCACTGCCAAGRGCATGATCATAGGGCCACTCATGTTGACACTCCCATTGCATTRGGAAGGGGCTGRGCCCTCCTCACACACCCTGTGTCTCCAAACACTGTTGGTGGTCTCTACCAGCAAGCCATGGGCCTCTGCCACTGAAGGGCACCAAGCTGCTCTCTCAGCTGGACTTGGTCTCCTGCCTAAGGCAAAAGAGTTACCTGGCAGGCAGGCAACTCATGGGTCTCCTCATGGAGGATCGACTTACTTTGGCATCTGGGGTACTTGAACTCTCCATCCAAGCACTGAACTTTAAATTCCTCATCTCTTGAAGCTTTTGTATGCCACCACTGTCTACATTCAAAATAAATATATTCCCTGGAGAGAAAGGTGGAGTACTGTGACAGGCTTGATTTTAGTTGAATTTTGTTCTTCTCCATATCACTCTCATGCACTGTACACGTCCCTGGAAAACAGAAAGCCCATTTATTATTGGCCTGTAGACCTCATGCTGGACAACTGCTCCTCTCATGCTGCAGGTGCCCAATGACTCTCCCCAAAACTTCCATCCTTCGCTGTCTTCCTTCATGGTCGTGGCAGGCAAGTACTGGGAGAGGGCTCCAAGGAGAACAGCAGGGCAGTCATGAGGAAAAGCATCCCGCTTCCCTCGGGCAATGCCCGGCCATCCCTACTTGCGTGGGCACAACAGGTTTCTTTACTGCGAGCTCAGGGGCCCTTCCACAACTGCCCCCATCTCCATCAACACACGGTGCAGGCCATGAAGGCCTCAGCTCTCGCCCTCTGCACTGTGCAGTGCCTGGGCTTTGGGCAAATTGGAGGGCAATGCAGGTGTAAACTTCCTTACTGAGAAGCCCATGAAGCCCTGGAGAGGCCAGAGAGGGCAGAAGGAGACCCTGCCACAGCTGCCAAGGAGGAGAGAGGCTGCTGTGGAAAAGCAGGTTGTGTGAAGAGGCAGGTATGGAGGAGACAGCGAGGAACCGGTCCCCTTCCTCTTCAGTCCCACCATGGGAAAGGGAAGAGGGCAGTTTTTGTAAAGAATATGGAGTGCATCCAAGATAGGTTCTGCCCAGCTATCTATCCCCAGGGTGTCTTCTAGGCAATCCCCTCCTCCACGGCCTGCAGCTTTACGGGGAGCTCCCTCACCTTGGGGCTCTCCCATTGTTTCCCCAGCCTCACTATCTAAGTACTCTCCTCTCAGCAGACCAGTGCAAAGTGCAGGAAAAGAACAGAGAAGCAGTGGCCGACTTCAGGTGACTTACTTCCYGGCTTGCAGTGGGGATAGACTAGTGTCCCCTCTACACACTGTACTCGGAATGGAGAGGAGGCTGGGTCCCGCACATATCCAATTTTACATTCAAACTCAATAAAGTCACCAGATTCTGCATACAGCTTGTTCCTTGCRRTCCATCTCAGCTYGATGTTGTTTCTGTCCATGWCCTCTTCAGATGCCGTACACGCCACTTGAAAAGGGAAGAGCAGGTTRTGAGATCATACAGAAGCACCACGGGGAGTTTGCTTCCCTAGGGCCTAGAGGAGGCCCCACSCTGGCTTCCCAGGCCCRCCAGGCACTCACACTCATCCTCCCCTCTCACAGCCCACTCACCGCAGCTTTGCCCCCGCTCCAGCGAGGGCTCTCAGGAGCCCTGCACCGTGATGGAGACCCCTCACACAGGGTCACGTTTGGACCTCAGGGTCACATTTGAGCCTCAGAGTCCAAACAAAAGGGCAAACACAGAAACCACCCTTATTATTGCCACAAAGGGGACACTTTAACCCACCTAAGCAAACAGGGGGATCTGTCCACTGCCCCCCAACACATGTAATAGTGGGAGATCCTTCCAGGACATAGAGACTTGGGCACTTGTACTSCACAGTTGCACCTGATGCGTACTCTTGCTGCGCAAACGAAAGGAGATCTCCATTCTCAATCGCTGGAGGTGGGCCGCATTTTTCGTCTCTCCCTTGAAGAAAAGTGCCAAGAAGAGAGAAAACCTTCAGGATTTAACTGCAGGGGAGTTAACCASGGCCTGGCCACAGCTGCATTGTTGGTGCTCTGAGGGATGTGGGGGAAAGGAGAGGGGAAACCTCCACCTCGATGCCAAACACCTGACAGGTGAAAAAGAGCARAAGTGAGTGTTTCCTTTCTCCACTGCTGGCACCCACTGCTGCCAGTTCATCCTCTTGGCATCACTCAAGAGCTTGGAGCTTCCAGCAGGCCTTTCTCCACCACCACGCAATGGTGCAGCGTGTTTGGCACAGCTCTTCTGCAKGAGCCTCCTGCAGAAGGAGGCACCTCCTTCCTCTAATGTGTGAGCAGTGCAGGAAGGAGGAGAAGCAGCACTGGAAACTGGGTGCAGAAGGAAACCTCCGGGAAAGGAGGGGTACTGAAACACTGACTAGAAGAACAGAGGTTGATTTCTCAGAAACACATAAAGGGAACTGTTTCTTCTGGCAACTCCCCCATGTTCCCCAGCTCAACACAGACTCCTTGGCCAGGAGCCTGCTGCTCTCACCAAGCACTTCCTGTATCCTTATCTGTCCTTGGAAATGCTGCCGCTTCGCCTGGCAGGGCCCCTCTATTCTGGAAAGCACTTGCAGGTTGACAGAGATGAGACTGGGGCACCCTCAGAGGATCAGAGCTCTCCCGCTTCCAGCTCCATACAGTTGCCTGGCTGCAATGCAGCCTTCACACCCTGCACTCACTGAGTGCTCACCCACTGCACACTGTGAACACAGCAGGCCACATGCTTGCCTTTGGGGGCCACCTGCTTGCAGTGCTRTATGTGAGCTCCAAGCTCAACTATCACCAAGGTGAGCGTCGCACTCTGCAGSAGTTTAGCCCTCGGGTTCTGCACGTGCCATGGGCAACGCCAGATCCGCTATTACAGACTAGGTATAAAAAGAGAGAGAGACAGGCAGAGAGAAGGTGGAATGGAAGAATGGAAGGAGGAAGGGAGGGAGGAAGAGAAGTCAGAGGGAGAAAYTACCTGTGCATTTTGGCCTCTTCGTCCAGGTCCCGTTCTCACAGGCTACAGTGGAATCGCCAGTCATGTGAAAACCCTGCCAGCACTGATACCGAGCTCTCTCCCCAGGCATGTACTTGGACTTYCTAACACCTTGAACTTTACCACCAGCAATTTCTGGAGGGGGTTCACATTTCAAATCTGAAATGAGACAAAGCGACGTTTTGCAGCCATTGAGGTCACTCCTGCTGTGGGGCTCACTGTCCCTAGCGGGTCACAGCTCTAGGACTTCCCAGTAGTGGGAGCAAGCAGGGGTGACARTGATAGCACAACTTTCTAGGCCCCTCATGACATGCAGTGAGATCAGTGAGAGTGACTCGACAACCTGAGTGTCCTTTAGCTCCACCTAAAGGCATGCCAAGCCACATTAACCTTCTTGTGAGCCCACATGCTTCCCCAGGGTGTGCTGGCATTCCTGAAAATCATGGAGGAGGGAGCAGAGCTGGTGCTCTGCTGAATGGCAGCACTCTGGAGCACTCGCAGCGCTGGAGACGCTTCTCCAACGGCACTGTCCAGGGACAGGCACACGTGGTCAGCCCCATGGAGGTGCGGGAAATGAAAGCAGCCCTCGCTGCCCCTGCCACCACCGACATGGCCTAGGAGCTCGGCCTTGGCACACAACATCGCCACACTTGAGCTCTGGAGAGTCTCTGGATGAAAGTACCTCCTACCTCTGCAAGTTGGTGGTTGGGACCATTGTCCATTTGTACAAATGATGTAATTTACACCTACAATCTGGAAGTTGGTTTCACATTCATATTGCACTCTGGCACCTGGCAGATACCTGTTGGCTTCACTGCTCCCAGTAGAAGCCCCGAGAACTACAGGTGGGGCTGTACAGGTGACATCTGAAAAGATAATTTAAAAAAATCTGAGCACAGCAGTATCCCTGTGACAGAATATTGCATTCAGAAACAGCATTATTCTTCATGAGCAACACCTCTTTGCCTCACTCAAGACACCAGGATTGTCAATCTGCTGTATTCCACCCCGTAAGACTGTCTTTCCTTGTACTGACCAGAAAGAGGAAAGGAGCTGCAGAGATTGGCCACGTTATCAGACAGGTGCTCTATTGATGGGTGGATCAAAGGACTGGAGAGTGGTTTGTTTACTGCCTCAAGTTACCTCCCCATGAAGTGCAAAGGCAATCTAGTATCCTACCAGCTATCTCATTCTTTGTAGCCAGTGCCCCTTTCTCCGTAAGCCCCTCTCTGCTCATCCTAGCAGCGCACACAGCGGCACCTGCGAGCCAGAAATGATGGCGTGAAGCAGTCCTTGCAAGCAGGTCACGGGTGGACTCTGCTGCCCTCACTGCCTGCGTGCCTGCAGGGTTCTGTGTTATTTTCATTAGCTTCATTAAAGACCCGGGAGGCTCCAGGATATTCACAAGCAGAACCAATACCTTCGCAGTAGGGTGGTGCTGTCCAGTTTCCTGCTCTGCAAATAATTTCTGGGTTGCCAACTGTCAAGAACCCAGCATCACACTGGTAGCGAATAGTTTCTCCAGGCTCATACATTTTCTTGATTCTTCCTTCTATTTGGGCATTGTCAACTGTTGGGAAACTTCCGCATGACATTTCTGAAAAGATAGACACATTTCATGCTTTGATAACGTGGTCCCTAGCACTGCAATGGGCACTCACAGACAGTAGAAAAAGGTTGTAGAAAAGGAGTATAAAAAGGCAGCTTGTGGAAAATTAAGTCATTACTCCAACCTGAGCAAAGATTGCAAGAACACCAAAGGATGATTCTCCTCCATCCCCAACTGCCTTCAGTCTTGTAAACCGATCAGAATTGCTTTGAAGCAACCATGAAGGATGATAAGGCTGTGCAGAAAAATCTGCAGCTACTGTCTCTTACTATTGAGCTCCAATATAAAATAATTTCAAATTCAGTAAGCACACTTCAAAAAGTAGTATTGCTTGATATTACCAGTGCATGTAGGAGAGGCAGTCCAGGTTCCCATAGAACAAGTTATCTCTGATTGTCCATCTAATATGAATCCAGAACGAGGAACATACTTAAATTTAGCACCAGCCAGATAAGTTGTTTTCCCTTCTTTTTCCACTCTTAAACTTGGATTTTCCAGCCTGGGATCTTCAGCACATTCTATAGATTGTGGTGGCAAACATGGCCTTTCTTTGAATTCAAAAAAAACATGAGGGTTAGTAAAAAGGCAATTAATATTCCCAAGACATACACAGTCAAAAACTTAAAAAAAAAAAATACTAAGTGACTGGAAACTTAGATGAAGAAATATTTAAGATTAAGTAGACAAATTGCACCAACAGACTGAGAGGTTCTCTGAAGACATGCTGAAAATACTACAGGAGAGATTTTTCAAGTATTATCGCATACTTCTTTCTGACAGCTACAGTGGACTGAAGCCCCATCAAGCTGGCCTGAGTCAGGACTCTCCAAGTACTTTCTTCTCTTCTATCACAGCAGAGTGTGCAGATTTAAATTATTACATGTATTGTGCATTTTCTGTTTTCTGTACATTTAGTTTTATCAATTGATACACCAAGTTGAAAATATATTTTTACGCTGAATTCCACAAGAGAAAATATACCATTTCTGTCAAAATTGTCCTTGTTCAGCAAGAAGAGCAACTGGAGTTGGGAATATTATTTTGTTAAAATTTATTTTATGAATATTTCCAACAATTTTACAGTTCTGATACTATTCTTCCTCCTTACTAGCAGAAAGGGAAGACCCCAAAACAATGAAAGAAAAACCATGTGCATCAAAATTTTCCAACTTAACCGTATAGACAGGCATAGCATCTGTCTGTATTAATCACCAGCTGGCACCTCATTTGACCTGTACTTACCTATGTACTTCTCATTTCTGAAAGTGTTCCACTAGCTCTTAAAGAAATTTTGCCAACAAGACATTATCTGCATCAGCAATGTTCTATCAAATGATTTACAGAAAGGATTCTCAGCATGTTTAAGAGTAGGTGGCCAGAATTATGTATTATCACATACACTCCTATAAGAGGGAAAGGCCAGGAGAAGGTGGGAAATCCAGAAACTCTCTAGGAAAGGATAAAGATACAGAACTTCAGTCTGCTACTGCTAGTACTAAATAATAAATAAAACTAGATTTTCACCAGGATACTATTATGGACACCSAGTGTCTCCTTTCTGCAAGATAATGAAGGAATAATCCAAAACGTAATTCCTGAGGACTATCTGAAAATTTTACATGCTATCTCAGATAGCTATGTCTGTCTAAATAAAAAGACTGCCTGCCTGACATTGGCGCCTTCTTTAGTAATTTACACGCTATTGCTTTTCTGCAGTTATGTGCTCTTGACACTCTTAACTCCACCTCATAGTACTAATTGCTAATTGATAGCAACGTAAATATCTAATAACATAAAATAACATAAAAAAAATGCACTACTAACCAATACAGCGTGGTGGTGATTGCCATTTTCCATGGATACATGTAATTTCATTCACACCATCAAGCTGGAAATTCTCCAGACATGAAAGCGTTACTTTACTCCCATTTCTGTAATTTCTTTCAACTGGTATCGGTTGAGCACCAGGCAGCTGAGGTGGAGGTGGGCACAACTTCTCAGCTGAGGAGGATATGTATTTATTTGGTAATAGAATATAAGATAGACTGTAACAGTTTATCACAAATTATAACATTTACAGTATTGGTATTCCGTAATTTTTAGCAGCTATCTCAAGCTTTAATTAATATCACTGTCATTTTTTATTGCCTGAAAAACAGCTGAGCTGTCTTCAGATGCTCTAAACCCCATGGAAAACACTTTATTACACAACTATGCTTTACTATATACTTGGCTAAGCATACATGCACAAATATATGTATATTATGTATACATATATATATACACACCTCTATAGGTGTGTGTATATACACATGTCTGTATGTGTATATATATATATATACACACACCTATGTGTGTGTGTGTGTGTGTGTGAGTGTACGTGTGTGTGTGTAAATACATATTTATCTCAAAATATACACACACATGTACATACACGTATAGAAGCATATAAGCATTTCAAGCATTTCAATCTAGTGGTACAATGATGCTAAGAAGTATCACTAATTAGCGTCTAGCATTCCTGCAGAAAAAGAAGAAATTATATGCAAATCTAAAAACATACCGAAGCATTCAATCTCAGGTGACCATTTTCCAAATATGCAAGTAGCTTTTTTAACACTGCTGTCATTTGGTTGGCATGTATACCATATAATTTTGTGGACTTCGGTCTCCTTATTTGGCCTGGGAACATTTTCAGTTTTCACTATGTTGATACCCAGTGGAGGTGCACACTTCTGAGATGGACCTAATATATAACCCAACATAAAGAGTCAACCACGCCCAAAAAAAAAAAAAAAAAAAAAAAGAAAAAGAGTTAGGCTAATATGTAAGTACGCATTTCCTGATGAAGGGGCCATCAATATTATAATGCATATCCATGTGAAACTGTTTTAATTACTGTGACCTGAAATAACTCCAAAGATTCCTAGATGATGAGAACAAAACGATTCTTTGTTCCTGTTATCTAAAGCAGAGGSTATTCCTACTAACAGAGCAATTATTTTAATTGACAGCATCCCTTTTTGCTCTGCACGCTAATAGAAAAATGAAGCATTCTTCTCCTAAGCCTGGACCAGGTCTTGCGCCAAGGGCTTGTGCTTTTGAGGCTCATAACACAAACTGCTTGCGAAAGCTAAGCTAAGCAAACTGTGCTCTGTGCCTCAACATAGCTGTAAAAAAAGGAACAAGGTATTCAAATCAGTAATGGATAGAAAAGCACTTCTGATAAAAGGGGAAATGAAGAGTAGGGCACATCATATGTTGCATTCTGTTAAAAATACGGAAGTGCTGGAGTAATTTATCCCAGCTCTGACTCCTTCATGATTAACATGGTCTATTGATCTTTGACCCTCATGCATACAATTCTTTTTAACTTCAGTAGAGCGTTTATTTAATTTTTTTTTTTTTTTTTGGTTGCTTGGTTTTTAAGATACCCTTTCGATAATTTATATACTGTGAATCTAAGTGGGATTTGAAAAAGGAGTGAAAACTACACGTCAGAAATGAAAAAGCCTAATGCACATAGAAACAGCACCAGAGGATGTGATTTGCCTACCAGATTGTGACTATGACTATTGTTTTTAAGTCCTGTTATGACTTAAAAATAAGCGAAGTGGAAGACATAAAATTACAACTAATTTACAAACCAGACATGCTCTTTTATTACTTCTATGTCCCAAGGTATCTAAAGGGTCTCTATTGGGCAAACAGGCAAAAGCTCATTGCTGGAAGTCCCTGGTACATCAAAGATTTAATCCCTATTTGATTCCACCCACTCTAAAAGGGTCCACTTCTACCAAACTACTCCAAGTATTTGCTACATTTCGAGTCTTTCCGGGATCACGGACATGAACATACTTAAAAGAGGGGCAATCAGAAAATCAGCTGAGGTGAGTGATATGACAGTGTCTGTAGATACACATCAATTAGTGAATTCCTTTCAACTTTGAATACAACTACATTATACCCATCTCTGAAATCTTACAGAAGTGCTATGGAAAGAGGTTACCTCCACAAGAAGTTAAAGGTTTCCATTCTCCATTAAGACATTTTAGTTTCCCATAAATTTCTTTTCTTGCTTTACATTTATAAGTTACTTCATCACCATGAGAAAACTGGGCTTGTTTTTGCCGATAGACAATCACATTCAGCCCAGAAGGAGGTGATCCACATGGCATTTTATCTTCTGTTGAAAAACAAACAAACAAAAGAAGACAGACTATTCCACAATCATACGGGTGCCATAAATGAAGATCTGACAGAACTTAAACAAAAATAATTATATGAAATTTGGTTAGGTCTGTCAGCCTTGCTGCGATAGTGAGGGTAAAGCGTTGCACTGGCTGTAGGAGGGCAGTAGTTCATTTCAGGGAAGAGAAAGGGATGGTAGGGGGAAGAGGACATACAACCTGCTCTCTGTAGGCGACAGAGATAAACCAAAAAATGGATTTGAGCAACTTCCACTCAAGTTTGGGACACTCTTGTTTTAAGCAGGCATCCAGAAACAGGGTTCTGTGCATCCAAGTGATTAAAGTATTGAAAAGACGCCAGCAGGTGAGGCCACACCTGGAATRTTGTGTGCAGTTCTGGCCTCCCCAGTATAAGAGGGATGTGGAGCTTCTAGAGAGAGTCCAGCGGAGGACAACAAAGATGATTAAGGGACTGAAGCATCTATTGTACAAGGAAAGATTGAGTGAGTTGGTYCTGTTTAGCCTGGAGAAGAGAAGGCTGAGAGGGGATCTTATCAACATGTACAAATATCTGAGGGGAGAAKGTAGGGAGGAGAGGGCCAAATCCTTCTCAGTGGTGGCCAGTGACAGTACAAATGGTAATGGGTATAAGTTGAAACATAGGAAGCTCCATCTCCAGGTGAGGAAGAACTGTCACTGTGAGGGTGACAGAGCCCTGAAACAGGCTGCCCAGGGAGGCTGTGRAGTCTCCGTCTCTGGAGGTCTTCCAAACCCKCCTGGATGCCACCCTGTGCCATGTGCTCTAGGTGTTCCTGCTGGARCAGGGGGATTGGACTAGATGATCTCTAGAGGTCCCTTCCAACCTTAACTATTCTGTGATTCTGTGCGATTTGTAGAAGAACAGGGCAAACCACTCTGGAAGAAAAATAGTATATATTGACTCTGCTGTTTGATCATCTGACTCCATAAGAACACCCTTAATTATTTTCTGTATTTCATTTTATCATATTTCAGATTTTCATTTTATATTACTTCAATATACTGTGAAACATAGATTTCTCACAAGTAACACAGTTACCAATGCAAGAGGGACGAGATGACCATTGTCCGTCAACACATTCTATTTCCTTTGATCCAAGCATTTTAAAGTTATCATTGCATTCGTATTCTGTTCTGTGCCCATGATGATACGGTTCCTCAAAGCCACCAATAATACTTCCATTGACAATCTCAGGTGGAGGCAAACAGTCTCTGGGGTCAACTGCAACGAAAAATCAGATCTATGCTCTGAAGTCAGTGCTTTCAGTGCAATTATACGTAAACTGCAGCAACAACAACAAACTCTGAATATGCTGTTTAACATTATAAAAATGTCTGAATGGGCCTTTGGTTTATGCCTCCGAAAAATCCAGATGCTGGCTCTGCTATAGATCACAGACAGACACGAGTGACCCTGTCTCACTCTACTCTCTTATTCACAGGATTTTTCAAAAGTGAAAATTCCTCAAATAATTTTAGATTCTGAGTAGAATTTTGTAATTTATCACTCATTGTCAGCCATCACAGAACTCCCRTTGGCATAAATAGAGCTTACATTATAAAATCAAAATTTTATATAGATGACTGCCACAGAAATTGTTCAATGTTTTGAGACACTGAAATGTGAACACTGAAAGTTCAGATGTTCAGAATCTGTCACAGCAAAGAGCAAAATAACATGAATGATTCTGAAGAGCAAGAGAAAGGAGGTTGGGGTAAATGGCCTTGGGAGTCAGACTGATATGCATGAGCTGTCCACAGAAGTGCTGGGGATCCAACCAGTTTACTACACTGGCTACTAAARTAAAATTAATAGAAGAATTACCTTTACATATTGGTGGTGATGGAAACCATCCAAAGTAATAGCATTGAGCAGAGAAAGGTCCCACTCTGGCATGATCTGCCRCACAAGTAAATTCCACAACAGCTCCATTCTGATATATATCTGCCTTCGGGGAAACATCTCCGTGGGACAGTATTGGCTTTTCACATTCTATTGCTATGAAGAGAAAAAAAAAAAAAACACTTTAACATATAGCATAAAAACTACAAAAGCATACGCAATATTACCAACTCCAACAAAGCCAAAGAAAGTCTCAAATCCAAAAGCTCTCACAAAGTGTATACCGCACACTTGTACTAGCAAACACACAGAAATCCTTACCAAGGCACTGGGGCTCTGGGATCCATTCACTGTCCATGTTACATCTTGCAGTACCAGTCGTCATATTATTTGCCGTTTGATATCCATCTGCACATGTGTAYTCAAGTGTGTCTCCAGGAAGAAACAGAGTTCTACTGCTGTGATAATTCAGATTCCTAAAGCCAGACGTACTACATGGTCCTGTAGAAATGAATTATATCAGGCCATTTTGTCAACCAGAAGCAATGCTCTTTGAATTCAACATTTCTGTATGTATTTTAATKAACTGGGGGAAAGGTGGACATCTCCCTGTTTACCCAATTCCCTTTTTCTTTTCTCCATTTATTTCTTTGACCCTCAGAAAGATCAGTCTCCAGCAGCCCAGTCCTCTACCCAAATTTCCCGCAGCAGAGGGAGAAACTYTACTGATCCCGAGAGCAAAACCCCGAGCACATTGGATGTTTGTCCATGCAGTGGCCATGACTCTGCCARTGACTCAGAGAGCCTTTATGCTACTCACTGATGCACTTGGGAGGAGGTGTCCAGCCATCCTTCTGACACGCTGTCTGTCCTGTTCTTCGCCTCTCTGCAGTCACATAGTTACCAAGACATGTGTAGCTCACCACCTGCTGCAAATTGTATGTTGGCTGTCTCACAGTCAAATAACCATGGTCAAACTGTATATACTGGCACAAATCTAAAGCAAAAAGACAGAATTTTGTCCAGATAAATACTGCTAAACCATACGGTTACAACATGAATATGAAGGAGTACAAATGAAAACAGCTGAAGAGTTGAGAACATTTCTGAGCACAAAAATTGCTGCCTCTGCACTGAGCTGTCTTCCTGGGGGAAAAGTGAAGAGTTCTCTTAACAACAAGCACACTAGTAACAGGGACAGACCAGGGCCAAGCTTTGAATTCTGCATCTCTTACGCTTCCCAAGACACTTTTRGACTCTGCTGGCAATGGCATGTCGGCTAGGCTCTATGCTGTGCTCCTATGAGGATCTCAGTGCTGGAGGACCTTGTTTCCATATGGCAAGTGAGGCACTCCAGAGATCACCACGGCGTTGAGCTACAGCCTCGGTTCTGCCACGGAGAAATCTTTCAGAATGATCTAGTGGGCACTGCAGCACACCTGACACTGAAAGCTAAGACTTGAGAAAGACGAGGAGATGTATTTGCACATTGGGGTAGAGGTAAGTCRCTGCAGGATTTTAAATAATCACATGTGATATTGAATTGGCATGCATACCAGGGATGCCTGCTATGGCCTAACRCATGAAATGATAAAACCTTATTTTACTTGCTCATGACTCCAACAAATGCTCTGTGGCAGCCCAAAACATTCTCTCACAGGTGTCTCCCTTGGGCTAGAACAGTTCTCTCCCCACAAACACAAATTAAAAGGAAAGGATGGGCTGCAGAATGAGAATGGTTACTATTTACTGCATCCTTATACTTCCTACTTAGTATTTACTACTGCACTACTGGGCTATCAAGGGTTTCACTGGTAGAGGCAAAAGAGACACCATTCCCATTCCCYGAGTTCACACTCCAGAGCACCTGGCAAGTCAGCTGTGAGAAGCACAGAAGTGCATTTTGAGGGCGACAGCACCTGGAATGAGGCTCATCTTAACCACTGGTCAGCAGTTAATGTGCTTCATGTATTGATTGCTTTTAGCTGGAACCTTGACAAGACAGAAGCACTACTCACTCTTGCGGATACATCTTGGAGGAGGCGACCAGTCATTCTTGGTGCATGTAACTTGACCACGTTCTTTTTCTGGGGTATAGTCAGCACTGCAGGAATATTTAGTTGTTTCTCCTTCCTTATAGACATACTTGTTTCTTGTTAGGAAAGCACCATTTTCCAACTGCTTCACACGACATATTTCTAGAGAGAAAGGGTGAGTACGTTTAACCACCATAATTCACACAGCTAGGACTGAGGAAAATTAACTCCAAGGAAAGTAATTACTGAAGAAAGGGTCCTCCTGACACCTTTCTGCATCATTCCACCCCTCCAAAGACCCCCAACCCAAATGTTGTTCATTTGTTCTTGTTCTCTTCCACCACCCTGAGATTAACGATCGCAGGAACAGGAGTGCAAGTGATTACGCAAGCTACAAACACACAGTCCAGCAAACTATCTTTCTCTCCTATTCTACCTGCAGGTACAACAAGCAAAACTGCATACTTCTAAGGCAGGCCTCACCAGCAGAGCATAATCCCTGCTGACTATCACATATGCATGCAGAAGAAGGCAACCGCACACTGTTATGTAGGCATGTAGTGCTGCCTTAATGACTTCTAGAGGTAACACCATAAGTACTGAAGCAGGCAACTCTCAGTGTAGGCTAACCGAGGGTCATGAGTTTTCACACATCTTTGCCAGACTGGCAAATGACATTTCTGACAAGAGAGAGARAGAGAAAAAGAAAACTCTTGTACTCCCTTAGTTCAGCTTTTGTTGCATAGACCTTCCCAATTATATAAGAATTAAGTATACCGTGGAAATGTACTTACTCATGCACTCTGGCTCTGGCCTCCAGCCTGAGGCATAACATCTGATTCGAACCCAGATGTCTCCTCTTGGGGTTGAGTAACCATCATGACAGTGGTAATCAACTTGCTGCCCAATTGCCATCGGAAAATATATGTGTGCATTTCGCTGCACAGCTTCGCTTAATTCACCATTTTCTATAACTGGGTAGTCACATGGTTTTGCTTCAAATAGAAGGGAAGAGCAACAGCATCAATGCTTGCACTGAAAAAAGGTGCAGCACGCAACATTCGGAACAGTCATTCAGATTTCATCGCGTTACGTGAGCGTTTCCTCAGCCTGGCGGGAGCCAGGCCTATTCAGTGGTGCAGGAGTCATCTCAGTGCGGTTTTGGTGTCTCTGTCAATTTGTGTGTCCATGCTGGTTGCCCGAGTTTCCATTGCAGCCAACTGAAATCCAATCAATATTCTTACTGGACTCCAAAGGCTGATTCATGCGACCACAGAAGTATTTTTTTTCTTATGAGATAAGTCTAGTCTTTTAGAGTGCCGTGATTCTACTGGCCATAGCGACCTTCATGTGACCTCAGACAACTACCTCACATTTGGACACTGCACTTGGGACTCACTCTTAAAATAGAGGAGAGGACTCCAGTCACAACCTTCTTTYGGACYRTTTGGGTCCCCATACCAAAAGCTCTTCCTAGCTCTTTTTCAGCTTCTTGAAATTTTAAAACTGTAGTGTTCTTYTTCCAGCTTACTCAAGAATACTGACGCCTGTCAGGGAAAATCCAGAGGCAGGAGGGAGCAACTCCCAGTGGTTTTCTCTCACAGTTTTCSCAGAGCAGCCCACTAGACCGTGGCAGGARGTTTGCTCCTGATGTGCCCTAAGCCAGAGCCCATATCCTGAGGGAAGGGGAGGTGCAAGAGGGATGACCCATTGAACAGACCATGCACTCAGGAGTGAAGTGGCCTCAGGAAGGTAGCAGAATTGCAGCCCCCGTACACAGAGGAAAGATGAACAGCTCAAAATGCACTCCTCTTGAACAGCTCAAATCTGCTTATCAAAAGGTCCATTTACCTGGCTGCAATCAAGACTATCTTAACTTGGTATTTGACAGAAGGCAGGGTGTGGAGTAAACCTGTAGTTATTTGTAATACACCAAACCACAACCRACAGAAAAAAAGCCAGCATCAGTTGGGGTTTGCTATTTTTTTACTCACACTGGCTGGCGTGCTGCTCCTTGGTTGGGCACATGTAACACCAAATATGTTCCTGTCAAAGAGCTGACGATAGCAACTTTTAACATATAATCTCACAAATACACTAATAGAGAATAAAATCATAGAATGCTTAAGGTTGAAAGGGACCTCCAGAGGTCATCTAGTCCAACCCCCCTGCATATGCAGGGTCACCTAGAGCACATGACACAGGGCTGTATCCAAGAAGGTTTAAAGATCTCCAGAGAAGGAGACTCCAGAACCTCTCTGGGCAGCCTGTTCCAGGGTTCTGTCACCCTCACTGTTAAGAATTTTTTTCCTAAGTTCCTGTGGAACTTTTGGTGCTTCCATTTGTGGCCTTTTCCGCTAGTCGTATCAGTGGCCACCAGTGAAAAGAGCCYGTCGCTCCTCCTCACTCCCTCTTTTGAGGTATTTATACACACTGATCAGATCTCCCTTCAGCCTTCTCTTCTCCAGGCTGAACAGGCCSAGCTCTCTCAGCCTTTGCTAATGGGTCAGATGTTCCAGGCCCCTGATCATCCTCGCAGCCCTGTGCTGGACTCTCTCCAGCAGCTCCACATCCCTCTTGTACTGGGGAGCCCAGAACTGGACACAGGCTCCAGATGTGGCCTTACCAGGGCTGTGTATAGGAGGACAATCACCTCCCTGGACCTGCTGGAGACGCTCTTCTTAATGAACCTCRGGATCCCATTGGCCTTCTTGGCCACCAGGGCATACTGCTGCCTCATGGTGAACTTGTCGTCTACCATGATGCCCAGGTCCCTTTCTGCGGGCCTGCTCTCCAGCAGGTCAGTTCCCAGCCTGTACTGGTGTCTGGGGTAATTCCTCCCCAAGTGCAGGACCCTGCACTTGCCCTGCTTGAACTTCATGAGATTTCTCACTGCCCAGTCGTCCAGTCTGTCCAGGTCCCTCTGGATGGCAGCACAGCCTTCAGGGCTATCAGCTACTCCTCCCAGTTTGTATCATCAGCAAACTTGCTGAGGGAGCACTCCAGCCCTTCATCCAGGTCATTAATGAATAAGTTGAACAGGACCGGACCGAGGACTGACTCYTGGGGGACACCTCTAATGACAGGCCACCGACCAGACTCTGCACCACTGATCACCACCCTAATATATCAATTAATATATSAATTGAATATGAATATATGAATTCATTTAATGCATTCATTCATTTCATGTATTCATTTTATGTAATCATTCAATTGAATATGAATACATGAATGAATATATGAATTTTTATATATGATGTAGATCTACAAGATCATACCTCTGCTTTTACAACTTTTTTTTCTCCCCCCAAAACCACCAAATTAAGCTTTATAAGCTCAGGAAACACTAGGAATGAGCATCTAATTCCTTTTCTGGTGAAGGTTTCCTTTGGCCAGTTTCTACTATGGTAGTTTGAGAACAGGAATTCTGCATGTTTAGTCTTCACTCATGGAAGTTACTTACCAACACATTCTGGAGAAGGTGCCCAGCCGGCCTTGGTGCATTGAGCTGTGTTTTGGCCAGTGACTGCTTTAAAGTGATATCCAGAATTACATTCCACGGTGATCTCACTGCCTTCTCTGTATACATTTGCTCGAGGGTTGAAGATCCCATTGGGAATTCTTGGAGGAGGACATAGAACTTCTAAATAAAAAGAGAAAAAACAGGTGTTTGCCTGAAGAATATCTGTGGAACTATTTCTGTTGTRTTAGTGCCCACTATAACAACATCTTTACACTATACCGACAGCAACTGCATAATAATGCCAAAAAGGGTCTTGTTAGGCCAAAGAAAAGGATACAACTCTTTTCCACTCATGGAAATACCCTTGTCTATTTGGAGGTTTAATCTTAATTGCAAAAGGCAGTGGTTGCGGTAAAGGAGATCGGGGCGAAGGAAGCTAGTCTGTCCCAGTAGGTCAYGGCCCAGCTGGAGCCCCAAGTGCCCTGTGCTGGGCTCGCCCTCAGCYCTCTGGAGCAGCATACCAAAGGAGACTAGGTTCATTGGCAGGTCCTGAGTGGAGACACAACTGCACTTAACAACAACCTCATTATGCAAAGGCTGTTTGATCAAGATCAAGGTGATGCACTGGCACTAGAAATATTTCACCTGAAAAGCTGAGAAGAATGTTGTTCTGAAAGCTCATGACAAGCTTTATTCCTTGGAAAAGCCAGGAAAACACTTTCTTTAAAGACTAGAGGTTCTTCTGCTTTTATTATCTACTTCCAATTCAGAATATCACCCCGACACAGMGGTTTGACCAACAGGTTGGTCCCTACATGAGTGGTTCTCCTGTGGATCAAAGGTGGGTGACTTAGTGGTGTGCGTGTACTGCTGGCTCATGCACGTTCAAGTGAYAAGTCAAGCAGGATCCATGGACACTTCATGGTGGCAGAAAGCTAGAGGACCAGGGCAGGAGAGAAACTCTAGCTTATTGTTGTACTGCTGAAGGATGCTCTTTGAGGGGACTAGTATATGAGGCCAGATAACAGGTAACAGAGGCCAGCAGAACAGTGGTCAAAAGAATGCTTGGCTTGGCAGTTTGCAGAAGCAATATGTTGCAAACCCAGAGACAAAGCATACCGATTAGTAGCCTTCCTAATCTTGAAGCAGAAAGTTCAAGGYTGGACCGAGTGGTGACGCTGATTGACTTATTACTGAAAGATCCTATAAATCTGCCCTGCCAATAGCATTTTTTTTTTCCACTTTCAAGCGTTCTTTGGCAATTTCTTGCAGATATTTCAAGGCATAAATTATTTCCCCCCAAATGAAATCAAACTACACAATGTATCTAGTTCTGTTTGTGAGATCTAGGGTTCTAACTAAAAATTTTAAGGCCTGTGGCTGAGAGAAATAAAAGTGAAAAGTGACCCAGTAGTGCTGAAAAGGTACAATCAAAGAGGACTAAACACAGAAGTCATGGATTCATTATGTTAACTGCAGAATAATTATTCTGTTAATATATTCTATTATTACAAATTTCTGATTCTTTCTGCAATTTGATTTTGTCTGGTTTTAATGCTTTTTTCTTTTCCTGCATGCTTTCATGTTCTTTTCTATGTCTGATATTTCCATGCCATAGCTAACAACACTTTTATTGTCCTCTGTAGAAGGAGGTTCAGCTTTTTCTTATTTGTAAAAACTACTTTTTTTTTTTCCAATTCATTAATAGCTTTTCTCTATTTTTTCACCATTCAGAATCCTAAAACAAACAAACAGCTACTCATGCTAGATGATATATTTTAGCAATCAATCTTGTTCATGCAGGATATAGCAGCAATAGTATCTTCCTAGACCTATCTAACTACTCACCTGCTGACGTAACTGMAGAGTGAATTGCCTACTTTTGCCATGGAAAGCTCATATTCAGTTCTTTCATCTCTTCAATGCACAGTGCTATGATATCCTTCATGGGATATTAGTCAGATGGGCATGGATTTTTTTTTTTGGCATTGAAAATACTACTTCTGAACACAGTATTTCTACTACTAAACACTACTACTTCTAAACACAACAAAATATGAAAGATAACTTTAGCAAAGACTGACCGGTGCAATAGGGGGTTGGACTCCATCCTAAGTCAGTACATTCTACTTCTGCTTTATCACCATGTCTGTATCCTTTATTACAGGAAAACCGCAGTCGTTCAGACTTTTTGTAAGATGCCTTTGTAGATTCCACATATCCATCCTGAATTTCTGGCCTATCACAGGTAGTTTCTGAAGTTGACAAAGACAAAATTCATATTTTTTTGCATATTCAGATTCACTGAGAATAACTGCCTATTAGATTTTTTTTTCCACCTGATATCAGAGAAATTGTGTTATGTCGACCAAAACATTTGCATTTGGAATCTGTTAGGAACTCCTCCAAGAAGCCTTCTATGACCTGTTTGTGGGAGCCAGGGGAAACAATGTATGGAAATGCATAGTAACAGTAGTAAAATAGTTGATAAAACARATTTCAGGGCTTTGAATCACCTCAAGAGGTCCCTTCCAACCTCAATTACCCTGTGATTCTGCAAAAACAAAATATGAATGAATCTTTTAACTTTTCCACACATACTCATTTGATCAAAAAACACATTGTGATTTCTTTATAGCTTATGTACTTTAGAAATATGAATCATACTTGTTTTTTAAACTAGCTTCACATAGATTCAAAACTGTTTATAATTACTTTGGCTAAATCAACACTGAAATGATTGAATTTTATACGGACATACCTAAGCCTGTTTTGATTAAATTGATTGCAGTCTGGTAAGCATACAGCTTTTAATAAAATTGGGAAAGAACTACATGGTCCATTACAACCAATGTTSTTTGGGTCTTCTTGCTTATCCGTGTATGCAGTGGAGATTGTTTACAAACTATGCTTAATTTCTGCAGATAGAAGTCACATCTTTGCAGTGTCCTCTACAGCAACCATTCTCTAGAAATCTGCGAGCATAAACTTTTAAAATCACAGATAAACACAGTAATAGTTTTCTTTTTACCTTGGCACTGAGGTACATCACTACTCCACTTTCCATTTGAAGAACAGTGTACTTCTTTAGATCCAATAAGCTTGTAATTTTTATCACATTCGAACTTTACTACTTGGCCAAAGGAAAATTCTTGGTCTAACTCAAACACACCGGTCACAATTATTCGTCCATTTGCTGGTGCTTGTACTGGTAAACACTTTGCCACTGGAAAGCAAACAACAAACCACCTCAAGCATTTTAAGTCTGTTCTGTTAAGTGAATTGACACACACCAAAGTTAAAACACAGGCAAAAAAACAAACAAAAACCCACACTGTAATTACCTTCAATTCTGAAAACAATATTTTTATTTATTGTGTATTCAGATACCAATAATAAAAAATCCTAAATAGAGAAATGGAACTGAGGGGTTGCTAGGAGGTTGGATCTCGTTATCCTGCTTTCTGCCCTTGCAGGTTAAAGGCAGAGTGTCCACAAAATGGGATGACCTCCTGAAGTCCCTGCCAGCCTGGATTATCCTTTGATCTTATGAACTCTGTGGATGGCAGGTAAAACTTTACTGACACACATAACCATAAAACCCTAGCAAAATAAGTTCATTTGCCTCAGAGTTATGCCAAACTAAATCTTCTATAAGCTAATGGTCTGGAAAAGTGCTGAGCCTTAGGGATTGACCGGAAAAAAAAAAAAAAAAAAAAAGATGTGTCTGCTTTTACAGCACTGTATTCATTGCATTGATATGCAGGATTTAGATATGACGAGCACACACCTGAACTCCAGTCACTAGATTTGATCTTATGCCGTTGACAAAAAAAAAAAAAAAAAAAAAAGGATATGCTAGCAAAAAACCTAGTTAGAGATAGCAGAACAATTGCACTACTAAAGTAAATGAACATCCTGTATGTCAGACCTGGATTTAGACTTCGTGTGTCTTATAACAATATAGCTGCAGAAAAGGGAGAAATCAATATAAGGCACCAAATATTTCTTCCTAAGTGGGAAGTGACTGAGATCACAGACCTTTTCATGCTGATATCACTGACCCCATCTGAATGTGCCTGATATTTTGTTTGCCACAGCTCCYGCTTTTCTCTGAAGATGCTCTCCATCCTATGTGCCATCTACCTTTCCTAGTCACTCATATTCTGTCATCTAGGTGCCCTACAATTACATTACAAAGGATATGTTCTAAACAAAACTCTTCCGCTGTGAAGGCTAAATCTTATGAGGACTTTGAAATTCCAGCATCTTGGTGACATGTAACAACAGTGTTGCTGTGTACTGTGCAGAGTATGCCTGAATGCCTGTATGCCTGAAATGGAAGATGCTCAAAATCCAGTAAACTGAAAGCGGAATATCTGAGATGAGCGATATTAGGAAGAGTACAGCACAGATGATACCTACCTCCAGACAAGAGAAAGATATCCAGTTTTATTAACTATTCTTAACCTAGAGATCCTTTCCTAAAATTAGGTGCTCATATGCAGAGAAAAAAAGAAAKCAAATCTACAGATATATGCTAAAATAGACACATGGTTTAAAATAACCTCTGGGAAGAAAGGAAGCCTCTTCTTATAAACACACAGGTCTGAAACTGGTAAAAGGTTCCCAAACTCAGAGCAGTATCCCAGCCCCCCTGCCTGGGGATTTAGGTCTTAGGGACTAGTTCTCCTTTTCTTACTGAAATTGTTCCACTGTATACTAATAGAAAGAGGAGCCTTTAATGAAAGCTTAGTGGCTAGAATATGCACAAGGATGAAGGGGAATTATGTGCTATAAACACACATATATTCATCTACCCAGATATCCCAGATAGCTTTTGTAAGAATGCTTTGTTTTTCTTAAGCAGGCCCTTTCTGTGTGACCCTCCAGAGGCCACAGAGCCATGAGGCAATACAGGAGGTGACACGACTCMATTTTTGAGGGATTTTTTGATAAAATCTCAAATGCCTACTTGATTAAAACGGCAACCAAGCAAGCATTTCAAGAGTTTCACTGCCACATAGCTTGGATTTAGACGGCTATATATCTATATGAATTCATACTTCTTAATCTGCACGGTTATTTATATCACAGGCAGTCATGGTGGCTTGTGGTGACTGACTGACAGTAGTGMGATCACAAACCTAGACTCTAGACAATATTAGACAGACAAAAAGTCAGACTGATAAAGAATTAAACGTCAAACCTCATTTACCTTCACAGTGAGGGACACTGTTGCTCCATCCATCTGCCTGACACTCACGGTAATTTTTTAGGTTGAGCATCTGGTATCTTACCAAAAAAAAAAAGGAAAAAAAAAAAAGAAAAGAAAAGAAAACAGTTCTAAAATATAGCCTCATTATGAGATAGAAACAGCAGTGCTGCTGTTATTGAAGCAAATGAAGTAGGTTTAATATGCCCTAGCATTGGCTAAAGCAAAACCCAATAAAACAGCAAAATATTTTTCTACCTGTGTCTATTCTATTTTTTGTACTTGCATATAGCAAAAGTAGGAAAAAAAGCAGAAAGCAGGAAAAAAAAGATATATTTTTGATTAAAGTGAAGAAATATTTAAACTGACTTATTATATGCACTATATTCAGTTACCCAATAGCATTAGAGAGGAGAAAGAGCGGTTTGTATTCTTCATGTATTTAAAACTAAACAATAACAAAATGYAGCTGTTTTACAGACAACAAATTTATTACTGACACATCCCTTAACATCTCCTGTTATCACCCACATACTGAATATTTAAATAAATATTACCCCTCATCACATCTGTACTCAACTCGGGCACCAAATACAAACTGATCTCCAGCGGTAAGTTCAAATGAACCAAACTGAATATCTCCAGGATGTCCACAGGGCTTAGCTGTTTAAAAACAAAACAAAACAAAAGTGCACACACARAAACAAAAAAGCAATATTACTTACTGCATATATAAGGATGCGACAAGTAGCGCTTTTCTAGTAATTTGGAGGCAATACTTTTAAAACTACTCTAAGYGTTAGATTGATTAACTCTTTTTTAATCACTGTTTTCAAAAAAAATGTGATTGGATTAAGGATCTTTTTTTAATTAAGTAACAAATTAGGAGCTTTTATTCCTTTAAAAAGACAGATCTGATCTTAAGTTTTATGACAACATAATGGCAGGATGTAACTTCGGCTTTTCAGGTAAGTTTCCACACAATCTAGGTACAAAGCCTTCCCCCGTAGAAGCCTCCCCGACTGGGAATGGAACAGCCTTTGTCTGACGTGGACTTTGCTGAGCACAGAAGATCAAAGGCCACGGGAGTCCTGTGCTCCTCCAAGTTCCCCATGTGGCAGCTCATTTTTCTGGCCCTAACTATTTGCACTGGTWCCCCAGAAAAACTGCACAGATGAACACATCAGCTCTCTGATGTGCCAACCAGAAGACTAAATAGTAGAATAACTTCATATAAAAGCATATAAAAAAATGTATTAGACCTCCTCCAAACAAATCCTTTGTGGACTCCACACCAAACTCATATATGCTGGAGAAATCCAGCAGCCATAGTTTTTTAAGGAAGAGATGAGTGAAGAGGCTCTAAGCCTTTTTACCATGTGACATGGAAAACAGACAAGCGGGCTAAGCAGTTTTGCTGTCTGGCAGCCTCATATGAAAAGGAGATGAAGGCTCTTAACCCACAGCAAAGCATTTTCTTTCTCTTTCCAACTGAGTCTTGCCAGTGTCAGCAGCTGCTTGCTGCATGGCACTAAATTTGTTAGCTAAAATTTACTGCTAAAATGCAGCATCTAATTTTGTGTAAGTCAAGGATCTRTGTGCACTGGTTATATTCATACATGTAAACCCCAATGTTTTTCAAGTTAAATAAGTAACATTAAGTTAAATAAATTAATAAGGTAAAGTTAATACTAGTTATTATAAGTTAATAATATGAAATGTCAAATAAGTTAATCTTAAACATAAAGAATACATAAATTTATGTAGAAAATAGTAACAACTTAATTGATATTTATTCRTGATTTATTTTAGTCTTTGTTTGAATGAAATATGGAACTTACATTACTTGACCGAACACCTGTATGTAATTCATCTTTTTACATTAGATATGTAAGAAAAATAAAAGYTTGTATGTCTAAACTTGCTTTGTGTTTAAAATTGATTTATTACAGAATATAGGTATCTTTTGTCTAATGATAATAAAGCTCAATTTCTTCACTCATAAACTCTGTATAATGGTGAGAAAGACATCCAAACTGTTTACATGGTATCCTAGAAATAACAATAGCAGCTCTCATCCTTATCATGAGTTTTTCCTCATAGATTGCAAAAGAAGGAGAATCCTGTCCTACTTCTTTTTATCTCCAACATTCTTTTCAACTTTCAAGAAATTAGATTTTGCATGGAACTAGTTGAACTAACTAAAAGAYAACATTGTCTCTTGGCTTACACTGGAAATCTGAGATAGTGCTTTATTCTGCTTAGACTGCAAATTTCATCCATGTAGCAGTCTTTTTTTTTTTTTTTTTAACATTTCATAACCAAGCCTCTATTAACTTCATAATTTAAAGTATAATAGACCTAACTAAAAAAAAGTTATGACCATAAGTGGCTGGGAAATAACAGAACTATTTTTTAAAATGCCCAAAAGAATGCTATTTTCAACCTGCAATTTGTAGGCTATAAACATGACTTAATATTTTTTATTTAATTTGATGGCAAAAGTGTCTGTATCATCAGTTGAATAGACTTTTCTGTAGTAGCACTTTAGCTTATTGGGAGCTAATCTCCCAGCTAACCTAATCCAGAAATAAAATTTCCCAGGCGTACATGCAACGATACTAGAACCATAAATATCTTGTGTATCCTTAAAACATTTCTACTCTCAGAGCAAATATACAAATTAGGTTAATAAAGTTGGCCGAGTGTATAACTTTCCCATGTAAACGGGAAGGTAAGTCTTCCCCTTTCAGAGAAGATAAGGAGATTTAGGGGAAGATAAGGAGAAAATGAACTTCTAAAAATGTTTCTTTATGCACATATGTCTTTTAGGATGGTTAGTTAAAGGATGCTGAAACAAATAATTGACAGGTAAAGATGCAACTGAAATTGGACACTGACACCATTGGCAAGGGATGCGATCTGCCAGGTCAAATATTTGCACATATTTTGCATAAATACTTACGTCTGCACTCCAGCAACTGGAAGGGTTGTTCCCAAGCTCCATCAGTGCACTCAAATACAATCCGTCCAACTTTTATATAGCCAGGCCGACACTTGTATGCTGCTTGAGTGCCGTGAGGATAGGGAGGCTTGTCCCATGTTTCTATAGGTATCTCTTTAACTCTCCTAGGAGGGGGTTCTTCACAGGCTAAAAATTGAATAAGTAAAATACTGGTGACTGAAGCACACACTACATATTCCAAAATACTTTCAGCAATACAAAAAAGTAACAAAAAACCATGAGGACGAGTGTGATAAAATGAGTGTATCTTTGCTACTTAGCCATAAAAACTACTGAGCTTGCGCCTTTTGTCAGAATAGAAAGAGACACTTAAGAGCCTATAAAAATGGGCATGCGCACAGCAAAACTAAAAACAAACATWTTGGGCAGAGTCCAACATCCATTAAAAAGAAAATAATCACATCAGCGTTTAGAGCCCATTTCTAGCCCCACACATCTCTTGCCCTTCCGTTTGTAGAAGCGCCTCCATTCCAGTCCTTCCATCACCGTGGAGGAGAACTCTGCACAGTCCAGATATTTCCTCACATGCTCTGTTCCTCATCAGCAACAACACTTTCTGACTGAAATTGAGTTCRTATGCTGCACTTGATTGAGGTCTGACAAATCTCCCTTAGCCTTTATATCCCCTAAACTTTCTCTCCAGGCAGATCACCCGAGTTTCCAAAACTTATCTCTTCCTGTCCATGGGATAATTTCTTATAGTGAGATACTTGTCACAAGCTCAATTAACTCTTGGTAATCACATTGACTTTTGCTATTTTCAAAACATATTGCCTCCATTTGACAGAGAGATTATCTAATATTACTCTTTAGATCAATGTTACACAGTTTCCTTCTCCAAAAGGCCCTTCCTGGACGTTCTTCCATTAAATGTACACCCAGGCCATATGGTTTATACAAAATGAACTTRAATTCAATTCATTAAGAAGCTCCCAAAAAAACTGCGATGGAAAAAGACAGACCAAAATACAGATACATTGCTCTGTAGASAGCGTGCACAAAAAGTGTTCTGTAGCTATGAAAATAAAGGAAAGAAATGTTTCTGGGGAGAGCTAATACCTTTCTCCAAGCTGGCTTCAGTATTGACAAAAAGGAGGCAAGCTTTTGAGGACACTGCTGTCCTGATGAGGAAGGGCGTGCCCATAGGTTTACCTTCTTTCCGACTACTTCAACTACTCAAAAAAAAAAAGTATTACATTTATTCTACTGGTGATTACATTTGAGTAARAACTCGTATTCTCTCTCCACTAGATGGTAGTACCATACTATCAAAAGCATCAGCAGTGACATCTGCTTTCATAAGTTTCATTAAAAAGAATAAAAAGAAAACACATTGTAATACCTTTTTTTCAAAATTAAGGAATAAGCAAAATGAAGAATATTGAATTCTCCAGTTAGTTCTCTCTTACAAATGAGTTAAAAATAGAATTACAACAACACACCATGTTTGGATCCCATTTGGATCCCACCACTGCCGACCTGGTGTCAGCCTATGTGAGCCTGTATGGGAAGCATTCCTGCATGCACATAATTCTGACTAGAGCAAATTGTTCCCTGTTTTACATTTTTTCAGTACTTTGAGAAACAAATTTTCCAAGGTGTGGACTTCAAAACTATACTAATTACATCATGTATTATATCTGTACTTACCAAAATTTGGAGTAATATTGTTATACTAGAAAGGATAGTCTAAACTTATACCTTCAAATATCATACCTTAGTGGAGAACTGGGATAGCTGGAATTAATCTGCAAATACTTCGTAAGTCATTTGACTTCAGCTAGGAATAGCTCAAGCTGCTCTCTCAGCATCATTAAACAAACCAGTAGCAACTTCAGCAAAACCAAGCACATACTACACATTCTCACTATAACGTTTGTTTCCAGGCTCTATGCAACAACCTGATCTCAAACAACTGACAGAGACTTTGCATATGGAGCTCACACTAAGTCCCTGTAGGGCTGATGGTAATAATATTTAATTGAGCTAGGGAAACTATTACAACTAGCTAGGGAAACTATTACATTTTGCAATATCTCTCATGTAAACCAAGTATTTGGAAAAGAAAGGGCAAATTTAAACAAATGTTCTTTTCAAATTCTATATTTTTTTTCTGGATTTTGAAAAAAAAAAAAAAGGCGCTAGTAATGGTGCTTTGAAACAATATGTATTATAAGTATATACACTTATACATGTAATACATTTCATTAACCTCCTGAWTTTTCAAATACAATCCTCTTTCCTATCAGCAAACTTTAAAATAATAAATATCTTTACAAAGGGCTCACTTCTACAGAAGTCTGGAGTAAAATCTAACTTTTTTTTGTAAATTATTGATTAATAAGGTTTTGCTAATCTTCTCATACAATTAGAACACAATCCAAACTGTTATCTATCTCAAAGATACACGACACCCTTTCTCCAACAGTCTGACAAAAAGCAAAGCTATTGAATTATTGAGCATATAAATTAAACAATATAAATACAATATTATCAAAAAAATAAATCAAGTGTGTCAAGGAAGAAAAACGAGACAGAAAATATTGACAGTGGCCAGAACTTGATATCTCTTTAACCATGAACAAAAGTGGATTAAAATAGAACCAAACAAGTTGTCATTCGACAAACACTTTGTAAACACCTTCTCAGTCAATATAGTACTCACTTCTCTTTTTCACATTTTCTCACAAGTTATTCCAGATATAAGAAATATTATTTTACTTTACGAACTATTTATAGTTCTATAATTATATAGGTATTTTGGAATTTTAGATGTTAAAATAATTATCAAACAAAACACAAATAACTAATGAGTTTATAAGTAATCATCACAAAAACGTACAAAATTATCCAGACAAATGAGATAAATAACGCCTGTGGTGCATACTGTATTAAAGGATCTACATACTGCTACAGCTCAGTTTTTGTTGACAGAGCTTCTGATAATCTGAACATTTCATTTAAAAACATATTTTAATAACGTTTTCCAAATATAAAAGAACAGATTTTTTCCATATTACAATCTTACCTCTTTGTGCAGCACAATATATCCAACATAACAGCAGAACCGCATAACCCAGAAGTGACATTCTAGAGACTCAGAAACGCAGCGAACACATTTATAAAAGCAGCAGTTTTGTTTGCTCTGTGTTGTACGCACTCCTGCTCTACTCAGTAACTGCTTCTGGGACTGACCTTGCAAAACATTTATACTTTGATTTCAGCAGTCACTTCCTCTAATCCTCTTGCAACACACAACTGTTTCTTTTTTTGCATAAACACTTTATGCAAACTTTGCTAAATGAATAAATAAATGAGTGCCTGGTTATTTCAGCTGACACTGCCCCTTCTGTTCAACGAGTTTTTACATCATACTTTTTTTCAATGTTAATTCTTTCTATGCTCAGATGAATCTTTTCCAATCCAAAAGAAATTGCTCAAAAAAAATTGCTTTGCTCCATTTTTAGGTGTTGCATTTGTGATGTCATGAGGCTTCAACCAGTCCTGGTTTCAAATGTTTTGGGATTACTAAATCACTTGGCAAAACATTAGTGGTTTGAACTACAGTCAAATTAGCTTCAGTGAGAGCTGAAACCAAACAGGAGATGAACTGAAAATTTACCAAGAATTTCTTGTTTGCTTTTTATGAACACAATGAATGTTAAAACTAGTTAAGCTGTGAGGTAGAACTATTTAAGATAAAAGATATCACCACAGAAGAACTGATATAAATGTCCTATGAATAAATTTAAATAGGAAATTAGAAGAATCACCTGAAAAGTGCACTCAGAGGTAATCTTTTCGAGAGCATATTGTAGACAAAAACAAACAAATAAATAACTCTTCAGCTTCAGTTGCAAAACAGACCAGATTCAGTCCATTCCAGCCCTATGTTATTGACATTAGGTCAGTGATAAGACTTACATTAACCAAATGGCAAGAAAATCAGGAGCTTAATCTTTCTTCCCCTACTCACATCCTCTGCAGTCCATAAATTAATTCAAAACCGATTTTCTTTTAAGCGTATCAGGATGCCACGGTCATCTCCAGCCTCTAAGGAAACGGAACATAGAGGAAAACAGAGTGGCCAAGAAGTGTCAGTGAGAATGGACTCAGGACAAGGCTAAGTCAGGCAGAGGGCAAGTCCTCTCTCAAGTACTATATCTRTAAAGAGAGGCTGGAACAGCTCAGTAATCGTGCAGACAAAGCTGCATGGTTTGCAAAGCATGTGTGACAAGGCAGCTGATTTCTGCCTATCAAAGCAGAAGGATTTTACTCATCGCCCTGCTTGGACAATTGGCGCACTACACTCAGACAATCTTTGTGGTCACAAGCAGACTGTCATAGACTTCCTACAGGCTGCAGATCCCCAGACCACCTCTCACTGAAGGTATGGATGCTTGATGTGCGCTTGGGCTGCTCCTAGCCGTGTGCTAATGCGCATGCTGCAAAGCCAGCACCACACAGGTCACATACGGGCACCCCACATGAGGTCCCTGCTGCTCAGCACCCACTGGCACTGTCCTGGCTGGCCACAGGTTGCCTGGCAGGGGATCATCCCACTTCCAACAGTGCCAGAGCAGACTGCTGCTTTGACTGCTGCCCACTTCGCCCACCAAGGCCTCTCCCTCCCGTATAAGTTTTCATGCTCCCTTTGCTCTTCCTTCCAAATTGACATCTCATTTGTTGGGAAAGTCTCCCTGTTGCTCCCTGGTTACTGTTTAATCGGGCTGGTGCCTGTCGACCCTTGAAGGTGATCAGCTGGGTTATGCCCTTTTAGGTGTTGGTACTCACACTCCTGTCCTAACAGCTGTTGTTATCCAGGGCTTTTCACCAAGAGTGGGCCACGTACACATCCCTGCACATGGAATATTCTTTTAGCATATTCTCTGCATATTCTTTTAGCTTATTTTAGTACAAATCAGCTAACAGCATGYGTTCAGGCAGGGCTTTGCAGAAATGAAGGCAGACATAGGTCAAGTTCTGCTAACGGACAGAGGTTATCCACATTTCTTTTCCCCCGTGCCCTGCTGCAGTGCTGTCATCCCTCCTGTTCCCTGTGCAGCTGTACAGGATTTTTTCAGGGCATCACAGGCCAGGTGATGCTTTGGGATCCGTGCTGTGATGGTTCAGCATATAAGAATAGATGGATTGGGTCATACTGTGCACTCAATTCCTAGAATTGCCTTCAAGGGATCGTGCCTAAGCGCAGAGCATTGCTCAAGGAACTGTAGCAAACATGCCCTCAACCTGTGAGCACTACACATGCTCAGCTTCCTCTCCYGTCAGGACTTTCTTAGCYACAATGTCAGTTTAATTGGAAAAAAAAAACACACACACACTTGGTCCTGCTCTTTTTGATCCTTTTCAAGRAATTCTCAAATCAGAAGGTTCCTCTTATTTCTATTTTTGGCTCTGGCTTTGTTGCTTTCAGCGTCRTTAGAACACTGTTCTTGGGATATCTCAGTTTACCACTGCTCCTGAATCACAAGCCACTTCCTCAGTGGCAGCAGAACAGGCTGCCTCGTGCACGGCCAGTTAAAAAAACAAGCACCAAGTGGAATGATAGAAGGACTCCCAAGAGCTATTCTTTCCTTTGAAGTTTAAACAAACGTTGTCTGCAGTGTTTGTAACTCAAACATTGCAGTAACTCAAACATTACTATGGAAGGTGTATCTGAAAGTAAAACTAAGAAGCAAGCAAAACATCAGCAGGCAGAATATATAATAAAAGTGAATAGGATCATTAAGGTTTTCAATTTTTATTAAATATGTGAGAAAGATAAGATTGTTTAAAAATATGCACTACTATGCAAAAAATAGACCTTATACTAAAGAGTTCTCAAAAAGGAAAAAAAAAAAAAAAGAAAAAGAAAAAAAAGGAAAAAGTGACATGCTTGTTTCAACCTGACCCGTTTCTAGTTCTTTTTGAGAAAAGGATGAGAAAGAGATCKTTAAGTCTATAAACATTGCATTGACAGTGCAGCAAAACTTCTTTTGCAGCAAGGGAGAAACATAAGAAAATGATGAAATGATGTCACCTACAACACGTGGGAACAGAGACTTGTTAGGGAAAGATGCAAGACTGAAACAAACGCCTGCCAATGACACGGTAAGTGTGGAAAAGTGAGGAAGCGAAAGGGAAATAAGCACTAGTGACGTAAGTACTAAAGTGTTGTGGTCACAACAACGGAGAAGGTGAACAACACTGCTTTTATTCAGGTTGTCACCAAGACAAAATTATGAACCTAAGGGAGAACTGTATGTTCAATTACATGAAATAAATGTCCAAGAACTGGATACTGTGAATGTGRGGCTCTAAAATAACATCTCAGAATATTGTGGGCCTTGTAAATGATACAAAGCCAGTAACGTCCTTTGCTTCCCATCAACCTCAGGAAGCGCAAGCATTGAGAAAAGGTAAATCAGGCGGCTATAATCCACACTCASAGGTCATCTTGACCTCTTGCCACTCGGAGCTACGTGTATCTAAATAAAGGTGCAAGCCACAGCTCACACAGGCAGAGTCTCAGTGTGCAGACACCCTGGCCTCAGCATTGTCTGAGTCATTAGTAATACACAGTGCTCATTAAATGCATAAATTAAGTAAGATTAAACAAATAAGACATGTATTTTAAAAGATCAAAAGTTCATTCAGGGAAGTTAAATGTAAGAGCACACCCTCCAGATAATCATTTCACACTGATATATTTTTAATCATATAACCCACATCATAGTAACACTCTGGTGTCGCCGTAGATCTACTTCTGTCACAGAGATGAGAAACCAAAGTCTAATCAGAAATATAGGTCAAAAGAGAGTTGTCTCCTTGAAAAGGGATAAAGGGTCTAAATTAGAAAAGATTTTGAGCTAGAGATGTAGTTTACACACAATGAACTACAGTTTGCCCTCCCTGTGGCAGGGCTGCAAATGGATGTCTTAGTTTGATGCAGTGATAGGGTCCTCTTCTATTTTTTTTTTATTTATATGTCTATACATACACATTTTTTATGTGTGTCTATACATACACATATATATTGTGTATTTAAAAATATATAAACACATTTACAAACATCATATCAAGCAATAACAAAGTACAGAATAACTATAGATAAATTAATAGCTATAGTCCTCTTCTGCTCCTGAATTTTTCATCAATTATTTTTCTGCTTTTCAAAAAACACTAATAGATTTCTTAAGAATACTGTTTTCTTACTGAATAATATATTTTTGAAACTATTTTCTGAGATACAGAATTCATTAGAAACACAATATTCATCAGAAAAAAAAAAGTCACTTCAAACTATAGTTAGGCATATTTAACAGATAAGTCATTATGCATTTTTTTTTCCTRTGGAAGACTTGCACCTTTGCAAATTCTTTTGGAAGTGAAATAGTAGAAAGAGTTAATAAAATACCATTTAAGTCATCTACTACTCTAAACTCCAAATACCCCTGTGAAATTGAATTCTCAGAGTCTTTCAAAGATTACATTCCAGTGGCAAAGCCGCAAGGCTGCCTCATGGAGGCTGTCTGATATTATCAGGACTCCAGTCCTCACTTCTGGTCTTAATCCAAAATTGCCACGCACACACTGAACACTGAAGTGAGACCTGACTGCCCTGTGCCTTGTCCCAAAAGTGCTCATGAGTTCTATAAACAGCTAGATACAAAAAAAAAAGAAAAAAAAGGCAAAAACCCACACCAAAACCACACCCAAAATAAAAACAAACCTTTTAGTCATTAACTTTTCAGTCAGAATTTTCTGCATGAAACAGGCAAATAGCAGAAAGTATGTAAAATCTGCAAAAACATCCGTGCTAAATGTGCAAATCTCCTTTTCCGCCACAGCCTAGACTTCTCCCATGGTAAATAACTGCCTTGTACATGGCCACTTCTCAGGTTAACTGAATCCCATTTGGACATAGTTAAGCTCCCTTGGAAGGACAGTAAGTGCAAGTTACTTAAATTATAAATCATCAGCAATTGATTAGCTAATGGAATTCTTAAGCACTGCTCCATTTCTCCTGCCATAAAGTGGATCTTCAGGATCAGAGTTAACCACCACGTAGTACTTGGAAAAAGTCATCCAGCCTGAACTAGCCAGGAAAAAAATATATTCATTGAAAGGTATTTTGGGCCTCCATATCAAGGCTGTAGAAGCTCCTGCCGGCTCTGCCTCCAGGGTCAAAGTCATCTSCTGAGAGTACCTGCACTTGTGCTCTGGAATAAGGGAGCAGCTCACAGCTCTTCTTTAACACACGAGCACAGCAAAAGGAAAGCCTAGCTTGAACAAAATGACCTTGTATAATAGCTCGTATATAACAGCATTTGTCTCCGAGTGGATGATTCAATGTCTCCTCAGCTTGAAGACATTCAAAGCTACATTTCCCAGGTGTCTTGAGAATGCTTAATCGCTATATTGAATCTAGCTACCTAAAATCCCAGCTCTGTTCAATTTTATATACTTAAAGCTTTTTAGAGTGGCCATGCCTCATACTGTCAGACACGCAAAAACACAGCTAATTTTATAAATGCAAAGAGCTTATATCATTTAAGAGAATAAAATTAAGTTTTTCTRTAAAAGGCATCACTATGATCTCAGTTATGAGTTTCCTCTGCTCATTCTTCTAACCACATTTTAACCAGTTTGCCAGTTAGCTAACACCATTTCGAAATGTATCTTTGTGGTGGAAAAATAATCCAAAAGCCTTCTACAGCTATTTTTCTCCTCTAGTATAAAAATAAGTGTTTAAATGATCAATTAAGGTGGAAAAAATAATGAGTCTGCTAAAAAATAGCATTAGTAGAGCACTAATTTCTCATCCAACCCATGATTCATAGATTTCAGAATGGGACATTTAGTCTAACCYCTGTTTAACTTCTACAACAAGTCATTATAACATCCTTATCCTCTCCTCCCTCCAAATGACGTGATAAGAATAGAGACCAAGGATATTTGAACAACATAAGGAGATCAGGGCCGAGGGAAGAAACAAAGTTTTTCATATAAAAGCCTACAGAAGCAGCTGAGAATTGTTTGCCCATGATATTCTGAAACAGATTTTTTCTTGAATTTTCAATATTTTATTGAAATTAAAATATTACCAGCCAAACCAAAGCCAACCAAACCTTAAACTTTTGCTTCATATGCGCCACAGATGTGTCTGTTCTGCTTCATCTAATGAACCCTTTGAAAAGCAGCCTACMAGCTCTGCAAAAGGGTGAGGCCCAGCGCACCAGTGACTTGCAGGCCTGGGGGCGCAAGGGCCTGTTCTTCAGAGCACCAACAGAGATGCTCTGCTCGAGATGGACGTGCTAAAGCAGCAGGCGTTATCTGCAACCGCAGCACAGACGCCGTTATCTGCAACCGCAGCACAGACGCAAAGCAGAGCAGCAGCAACCCGAGTCCTGCGTTAGCCGGCCTGGTTACCTGTTGAAACCTCCCCGCAGCAGTATGAGGCTCAGAGCTGGGTCTTCAGCACGTTAGCATGTGCTATGCCATAAATTACTGTCATAAAATACGTTGGCTTRTGTTAAAACAGTTTTAAAATTACCTGAGCTCCTACTTGGAGACTGACCTGAATGGAAAACAAAGGCCTGCTCTTCCACGCAGAGTGTGTGTATGCACCTAATGAAGTATGTGGTATTTAAACCACACCGAGGAAATAACTTCTCATTTACCACTTAGCTCCTAAACCAGCAAAGAATAAAAACAAACTCATCCACACTTAAAAACCACACCAGCATAATTATATAGCACATCAATGTCATTCTGGTAAGGAAATACTGCAAGCAAAGAGCCTGAGAGCAAGTGAGGTCAAGCCAGAACAACACAGCAGTGAGTATTTGTGTTTACCAAAACCAGCACTTTAGGTACCAGGTATAGCTATAATACGTATGATAGTCTAGATTACAGAGAATCTTTAAGAGCACATCTAGAAGTCCTGTAARATTTTAATTTTGAGACAGCGTTTCCAAACAAATCATGACAATATTGGTACCAGGTGCTTGAGCAAGAGCAGAAAAGAAAGAAAAGTCAAAGAGACCAATCTATAGCATCACCCGACTTTCAGTCATTGCTGGCAAATGTAATCCTTTGGCTTTTCCTGTACAATCAGAGGCTTTAAGGGATAAATACAATGTAAAGCAGCTTTTTTTTTTTACTTGAAAATGGGGATCATCCACAGACTGTTTGCTTGGGGTTATCAGCATTGCTCAAAAATACTTGCAGTCTGGGCTTTCTCAGAGATGTTACTACAGGAGAAAAATTTGCTGAGAAGAACTGCAGTTGGAACATGACTTGTATTTTTGATTTACATAAATTTACATTTACATAAATTACATTTCAGTGTTTGATCAGGCTGTGGCTAAAAATGACAAGTTTGAACTTAAAAAAAAAAAAGAAAGAAAGAAAGAAAAGGGAAAAAAAATGATAGAGGTGAGATTGGCAACACAGGGAGGAGCTATGGGCTAGAAATCTCTTCAGGCTTAGACCAGCTCAGAGACAAACCACGTTATTATTTGCACACAAAAGGCAAAGCAAAGCATAGCCACGGCCACTTGCTAATGTCCAGCTCTGCATTGAGCTCAAAACACTTGAAATACAACTTTGCTCACATACATAGATGTACAAGATGAAATATACTTTTTAACAAATAAATTTTACGTTTTCTATTTGTTTTGTATCAGCACAAGATTTCCTAAGTGCAACATGTAGCCCTATCATAAAAGCACGAATGGAAGATTACACTGGGAATTAAAAAAAAAAAAAAAAAAAAAGGCAGTAAACAACCACAAAGCGTTACTCCCCTATTAACAGTAAGAGGCACTTTGCTGGCCTTTGTTTATGCGGCAAACTAAACCTGTAGTTTAACGAAGGCTTTACCACAGCCGAGGAATTAGCGCTGCTCAAAGAGCGGGGCTTCCCCTGCCTCGGGGCGCTGCTCGGCACCGACCCAGCCTCCACCTGAGCCTGCGTGCGGAAACCTRCCAGAAATGAGCACCAGACCAATAAAATAAAAAAAGCCGTGTTTTTTTCAGCTGTGGGGGTTCATTTTTAAAGAGGGCTTGCGCCTCCGCACCTGATGATGATGATAAGCTAAACCTCTCCCCCACCCCCGGCAGGGATCGTGTAAATTGGCCGGTTGATGCGGTGCACCTGGAGTCTGGCCCCGCGCAGCACCAGGTGTCTTCCCTGCTGGGCCAGGCATGAGCAACGGGAAAATACATTTTTTTTTTTTTTTAAGGGGGCATTTAAAGGGCATTTTTAAGGAAGGTGGGGGAAGAAACATCTCCGAGGGCACAAGACCCCCAGGGCGCAGACACCAGTGCTGGAATTCCGGGGCCTTTTCCCCGCTCCTGCCGCACGTGGCACCCASCGAAGCCGCCGCGCGCGGCTGTGAGAGCCGGGAGCGGTAACGGCCCCGCCCCAACGGGCGCCGCGGGAGCGGAGAAGCCCCCGCCGCCCACGCTGCCGGCGGCGCCTTCCCATTGGCCGGCGGGCCGAGGATCCCGCGGCGTCACTGGCTGGCGCGGAGGGGCGGCCGCCCGCCATTGGCTGCCCGGCCGGCGGCGGCTCCGCACAACATTTGCATGGCACTCGACGCCTCTTTGTTGTCAGCCGCGGCGGGCGGCGCGTGCTCGTGCTCGCGCTCGCGCTCGCGCCGGGCTGGGTGGGTGGGGAGGGGGCGAGCGGGGAGGGTCGCGCGGCGCAACTTTAAACCCGCCGACCGTTAACGGCCGTTAGCGCCCCGGAGCGCGAGCCGCGGGCTCCGTCCCTCCTCTCAGCCCGCCCTCCCGCCGCCTTTGTGCGTGCGCGACCCCCACGCCCCTCCCTGGGCTTTTTTATAACATCATTATTGTTGCTTTTATTGCTTTTTGTTTTTTCCCTTTTTATTTTCGGCGCGGGAGCGGCGGCGGGCAGCATGGTGGACCTGGACAGCGAGGTGCCGCCGCTGCCCCCGCGGTACCGGTTCCGGGACCTGCTGCTGGGCGACCAGGGCTGGCAGAGCGACGACAGGTGGGCGAAGCGGAGCGGGACGCGGAGGCGGCGGCCGCGGTCGCGCGTGGCGGGAGCCGCGTGTTTCCCCGTTCCGCGGGCGGGGGGCACGTCTCCCCGCGCCGTTCGGCCGCGCAGCCTCGTGTGGCGATCGGCCGCGGCGCCATCCCGCCCGCGCCACGCGGGGACGGGGTGCGCGACGTGGTCGCAGCGCGTCCCGCGGAGCGCGGGGCGGGGAGGAAAGTTGCCGCGAGGCCGCCGCCTCGAGGGGCGGTGGGAAGGCGGTTTATACCATCCCAATTAAGCCCCTTTAACTCGGTCATCAGAAATATCGCTTATATTGCTGGGCTATATTCTGTGGGGTTTTTTTTTTTTTTTTCCTACTTTGATAAATGAAGGGTCTTGTTGAGKGGCAATCAAGCTCATACAGATATGCAACTAATTGTTACTTTAGTCTAAGAGAATATGATATGTGTTGAAGCAAATTGTGTTTATTCTGATATATTCAAATAAAAAAAAAAATGGAAAATGGTTGGAAATTACAGCATTAGTTAAACAATGGAGAGTTAGAAGATAAGTGTATCAAAGCATGGATTTTATATTCTGAAATTCTTTATATTCTGAAAATATTCTGAAAGCATAAAAAGTGTATTCTGTATTATCCACTTTCTGGTCACACTATTCTTTATGATTTATTTTTAATGTTTTTTTCTTTTTCTTTTTTTTTTTTTTTGGCATGCACTAGTCCTAGCATTTTACACCTACATTTTATATCTTACTGGAACTGTAAAAAAAACCAACAATCTTTCTCATTTCATCAACTGTTCGCGATAAGAGCCTTAACTAAAAGGAACAGAATATTATTTATACACCTCTTTGGATGGCTGTGTGTCGTGGCGCTTTTGCCCACTCTAGTTCAAATTTCCATCAAGCATGGCCCTAACTTCAGTTGTTCGGCTTTCTTAGGCATAAAGTGAGCTTCTGTGACCTCAAATAGGTGGTAGCGGGTAAGAACTCGTGCAAACTGTGGCATCAATTCAGCTTCTGTTTCATAAAATATGGAAACAGTTCTTGGGAAATAGCAGAATGACAGCATAACAGTGTTATAGAGCATGATTATTACTGGCAAAATACAACTCGGGACTAGCAAAAAATGAATAAAATTTGACTTTATTAATATTAGATAAAAGCATGCAAATATTACAAGATTGATCTCTGGCTGCTAAATTGTCTCCATTGATATAAGAGATACGAACTCAGGATTGGAACCGACTGGTGGAAATGACTTTTCAGACCTTCAGGTCTCATCCCCTGCTGGTGCTGGTCACAGTYGTGGCAAGGGTGCACAGGGCAGTTTTTTCCCCACGACATATTCAGGACAGCTCTGCATGAGACTGAGAGCAGAGCACTCTTCAGCTCTGGAAGTTACCGTAGAAGTCTCTCTTGTTACTAGCTTTACCGGTCAAAGTCCATGCTCTAAAATAAAGAATTTTGCTATTATCTATTATACCAAAAGCATATACAGTCTACATAGAAATACTGTCAAAGGCACTATTTAGAATATTAGACATCATTTTAGGAAATACTTAATGAGAGACAAGCAGCCTGTGGGCACTTGCTAATAAACAGTTTATTAGTAGTACAGATTAGTCGCAGGCGTGATATTATACAAGTATGCCATACTTTAATAGCTTTTTTCTTTTTTGCAGCCTTACATAAGGTGTATGAGTTTGTTTTTGATGAAGCATCTTTCTTGTGTCCTAATTAGCATGTAATACAGATACTGCCAGAAGTATTGCTTTTACCCCCTTCAACTGTATGGGCAGTAACAATGAATGAAATGACTGAGCCCTAAAACACACTTGAAGTAGCCTTCTAGAATGGTCACCCAGGGGCCAGTGATCAGGATCACACATTCGAGAGATTACTGGCCCTTCACTTGGGTGCTGAAAGTGATTTTGTAAATATTTCAAGTTTGCTGCAATGTCAGGTTGCTTTCAGTTCCTTGCAGTCCAATTTGTATTCGATACTCAAGTATACCAAGGGTATAAATGGACACCTAGCAGCTGAGGAGTATGTGAAACCTTTCTCCCTTTTCCTTCAGTACCATATGCAGAGCAGTGCACAGCAGTAGCTGCAATGCTTAATTTTCTTACTTTGCTCACCTACTTATCCCAGAATATCTAAGTCTTGAAGAAACTCTTGGACTAAAGGACAGAAGGGTTTTCATAAGGTTTTTTAGCGAGGGTAGACCAGGCACTTCATGGGACAGGAGGACTCAARTCAGCTGTATTGGGGATCCCAACTCTTGTGCTTTCATAAAGACTGACAGACCTTCCTACTTTTAAGAATACAGGTGCCATAAGTTAGTTATATTTTAAAGTTCTTTAATGTACCACACTTAACCAGCTCTTGAAATAGCTTTTCCCATGAAAAACCTTCCTGGCTTTCTTGACTATCAATTTGCCATTTAAAAAACAAACAACAAAAAAACCCACCCCTAATGAAAAACTGATTCAATTGTCATACCAGAGTGGGACAAAAAGTATGAATGAAGCAAAAAGTGTGAATGACTTGACTTGAAAGCTGGGCTTGTAACCCCACAACTAGGAACTGACTGGCAATTGACATGCAGAGACAGTGCTGCCTAACTTGAAAAGCCTAAACTAAAACAATGTTTCAATGTTTCATCTTCTTTAGGACCACAGATTGTATAGCAGTATTTGCAAAGCCTACATAATCTGTGTTTATATAAATCTGTGCACTTTCTCTTGTCTCCCCAGATTGGTTTTTGGTATATACACTGTATCAAAATGAGGTGTATATATACCCCCTCTCTATTCACCCAAGGTCTTATGTCACCAAATCTCAGTTTCAATGACAGTCTGCCAGAAAGTCTTATGGTAGCATTTAGTAATAATTATGATCAAAGCTACAGACATCTACTTTTTAGAACTTATATTAGAGATATTTCAAACAGTTGTCTTACTGAATTTTGAGATCTTACTGGTTGTTTAAAAGGAGGACTTCTTTATAGTATAGTCCTGTTTAAAAGGACTTCTTCTATAGTATAGCTTCCATTAGGCTTTTTCAACACTTGGTTAACGGTCCATTTCTTTATTGAAGTAACATCTATTTCATTGCTTTTGCAATTCTTTCTCAGTAAAATAATTCAGTTAAGGCTAGTTTCCTAATGAGGCTTATAGTTAGCCTCAGTAACAGATGGGTTCTTGGCTGGCTGTGATATTCCGCATACCAGCAAATTGGATTGTATATTATTTTTAATAAAAGAAGTTTCTGTGTGCACAAGAACATGGTGAATCATTGGCAAGCACTTTTTTTCCCCCTCAAAAATTGTATTTTACATAATTCATTGACATTCTTAAGTTGTTTACTTGTATTTGTGAATTAAATCAAGTTTGAAAAATAGTTTGGGCTTTTGGAAGGCTAGATTTTCAAAGGCCATAGTCCCTTTTGAAAATTATGGAGTGAAGCTTGATGCTTATAGCACAAAGGAACCACAAACGTGGAAATTTCAGCAGTAAATCAGAAAAAAATAAGAGCTCTCCCTTTTACTTTGTAAGATTAGATAGAGTTAAGTTGGTAAGGTTAGATTTCTGGGCTGTTCTGAGGCAGTCTCTTTTCACATAAACTTACTAGGTTTTTCACAATATACATTGAACAGCTATTTACTCAGTGATCCTTGTGCATAGTTCTGCCTTTGTAAGGTGACAGAGTTGTGTTCCTGTCGCTATGTTAAATAGTTAAATATGGCCCTGGTTCATGTGAAAAGTAGACGACCATGTGAAAGTTCAACCCCATAGCTAGAGTATATGGCACATAGATGATTCCTGCAGCAGGAAGGGGAAATGCACCAGTTTTCTTGTGGCCGCATGAACATTCCAAACATTGGGCTAGAAAGCAAGAGCAAACCTCTGACTTCTGTGAATCTCACATTTTACTTTCATTAGTCAAAGTATTTGAAACTGAGAAAAGCTGTTCTGATATGTTGAAAGTTTTGAAATATTTGTACTTGACTATCATGATACAATTTTCAGTTTGTCTGCTTGGAGAATCAGCAGAAAGGGAAGGCTTGTCCTGGCCTCTCCCATGCAGCAAACATCCATTTATTCAGTGAGGTTTTACACTTCTTAATTCAGTGAGATTTTATTCAAACATTATTATAACAGTAAATAATGTAATAGAACATTTCAGTTTTCATAAGCCTACTAATAATCAATTCTTAATCTTATTAGTTATGTTGAGAAGCAACACGGAAATATCCTATTAAGTGAAGATGTGTTTAAAAAACATTGCATATTTAAAAGCTTCAGAGAAAGGAGAAAATAGAATATTTATTTAAAATTCTCATGTAAGCTTGGGGTAGATATAATGAAAAGGTTATTCACAAGAAATATTTTCTCTTGTCACCCTATATTTTTTAAAAAAGCCAAGTCAGAGGATACTAATGTAAAGAACTTTTTTATTTTAAAAATAAAAAAGCATTTACAGGCTATGGATAACAATGCTTTTTTGGTAAGGTCAATCATAATGTTCAGTATCTTGCATATCACAACTTTTCTTAAGCCTTTTATGAACACATTTAACTCTAAGTATATTCTTTAGAAGTCAGTAAAGATACAGAGGCAGCATCTGTTTTAGCAGTAAAATCAAGCTAGTCAGGAATGCTCCTCACCCTTGAAATGTGGCTGCTTATACTAATAAACTCTTCAAATTTTGCTTAGTACACCTAGAGCAACTCCAGCTAACCAAACTTTTGAGCAGTTCCCAAGAATGATTTAGCAGTTTGAGCAACCTGGGAATCATTCCCTGCAGGCAGACTGTGGATAGCTACCCTGCATGGGAGACAAGACAGTTTATGGGTGGATATACTGGCATTTTTGTGCCACTTTATAGTGGTGCCTAGGCATATTCAACTTACTGGTACACGGGTAGCCAGAGTGGGTCAAAGTCTGTTATAGAAATAACCTCTGCACTTAGATTGTGCTGATCCTTCTCCC